TATATATATATATATATATATATATATGATATATATATATATATATAAAGACGTATACCGATTCTAAATGCATCAGGTCCTATTCACATACACCATGCAGCTACTAAGCGTATTTATTCTTTTCTTAAGTTCCAACTACTTTGTGAAACGTATTCTTCTCTTTGTCTGTCAGAAATATACATTTTTATAATTATCATTCACCATATAAAGCAGCAACGTTTTTTATTTAATGAATGCGTCTGTCTTCAAACACCTCATGAACATATTGGGACCATTATCATCGAAGAATAGTGATAGAATTCCTTTTTCCGAGTAGAAATAAGAATCTGATAAAGACTGGTTTCACGAAAATGTGGAAATTCCTGTGATTTACAAAGATTCGCCAGGAAGTCCTGTGTCAACGTCAGAGGAACCATTGATCGAAGAACCTTCAATATTTGTCGAAGAATCGTCTGTTTAGAAGAAATTTTGTAGCTATAATATTTTTTATTATTGGCGTTTATGCGGATTTATATTTCTATGAACATAGTTTATAGAAATGGGTAGCCGGAAGAAGTTTATCATCTATATGCCACTTACTAAGTATTATGACAAGTATTATTTTTTGTGTATTTTTGGTATATTTTTAAGTACTGTGATTAACACATTTTGCGAACTTTTGCATTAAAAAGTTTTGTTTTTAAATGTATATATATGTATCTTTAGTTTAAGTAGTAACAACATATTTAGTTTAAGCATTATTTTAGATGATTTATATAGATATTAATTCCGTTGCGTCGTTTGGATAATAATTAAATTATTGAAGCTATTTCCACTAGCAAAAACTGACCATTTTACAATGTTATGACTTTACAACTTATAATTTTACGAATAAGGAACTGTAGTTTCCTCGAAAGATCAGTCATAAAAAACTTGTACTAGAAGAAGCCCTTTAAAAACAAATAAACATACAGTATAGGATACATTGAAAATATACAGAATACAGAGTACTATAAAAAGATATAGTGAAAATAGAAAAACAGAAAGGTAAAAAAAGAAAGCTATTATAAGAAATATCGATGTCAGTTTTCTGGAAGTGTCAGTTCGCTCTGCTCTTTAAAAAAATTCGGCGTTTCGTTACTGCTCCGTATGGGCTCGTCTCGCGTGTTTATTAATTGTTTGAGCTTCTCATAGTCGTTCTTTCCATGGTAAATATCTTCTAAAACGAATGTCGTGGTCATAAGGACAGACACTCCAGCGAAGATCACCCACATAACCAGTTCGAGCGTGACCTGAATGAATTATAAAAGAATTTTAATTATCACAATTTTCATTTAGCAAACTAAAAATCATAACGGATCGTAACTGAAAATCATAATAGCTTTTAAGCCAAAATTTAAGAATTTAAATGTCAAAGTATCATCACCTTTGTGTCTTAGTAAGTACAACTTAGAGTTGTAGTAATATTAATTATGAAATATTAATTAATATACAGTAACATAAAATATAACTCAAAGGGGTTGTAGTACTCACTGAGAGGAGTAAAAAAATGTCTAATAAACGTAGATCTTAAAAATCGATCTTTTGTAAAATCAGCTTTTGAAAGAATTGATTTTACGTCCTATGTTGATTACATATTTTTTACTCCTTTCGATGAATACTACCATCCCTTCAAGTTATGGACCCTTTTTTTACGACCATGCTATGTCATATTAGAGATTTTATATTATATATCTTCTTATTTTCGGCCTCATAACCCTGAAAAGCACCTTGCTCCCAGTCTGCCTATGTCTATAATTTTACTTATTTTATTTACATTAATTTAATTTCTCACTTTCGATCTTTTCTCTTCCTTCTCTCTCATAAGAGATTATATATATATATATATATATATATATATATATATATATATATATATATATATATATATATATATATATATATATATATATATATATATATATATATATATATATATATATATATATATATATATATATATATATATATATATATATATATATATATATATATATATATATATATATATATATATATATATATATATATATATATATATATATATATATATATATATATATATATATATATATATATATATATATATATATATATATATATATATATATATATATATATATATATATATATATATATATATATATATATATATATATATATATATATATATATATATATATATATATATATATATATATATATATATATATATATATATATATATATATATATATATATATATATATATATCTTATATATAACAATAATATATTCTATATAATACGAAATATTTATTTGTATAAATATTTACTTCTACTACGGTTTTCAGGATAATCTTTAAACGATGATTGACAGAAACCCACTGCCAGATTATCACTGGCAGAAGAATGATCAAAAGTAGTGCTTCCAGAGCGTGCAACACTATCAACGATATCGAATGATAAATCATCGATTTTCTTCGAAATTTCCGTCTACAATGACGCAGTTATTTTATCGTTAATATTAATATATATTCTATTTCGTAGTATCTTAAATTTTTAAGTACCTATTTTCTAATTTTTCTTTTTCTTCTTGGTTTTCTTCTGCTTCGACTACTTCGTCGTTGTTTCCGCTATCCCTTTGATTTTTAATGTCGTACATGTTAAATGACATTTGGATAAATTAAATGTAAAGGATTTCCCCGACAGATAACTGTTTGTAGATAGGAAGCATTCAGTACCGTGAATTTCCTAGTACATCTCATTTTAAATTTGTCAGATTAGACAAATTGGACGATGAAAAATTGGATGGACAAGGATCTTGCTATCTTTCGTTTGTTTTCATTTACTTTCCATTCACAAGGTGAACAAAAAATCGCTAGATACCAGGGGATCACATACAAGTGATTTCTCTTATAAAAATTACTCAGAGTACAATGAAACATCAAATTTCAAATAGTTACATCAATCATAATTCAATTTACGTATTTATGAGTCAATCATCATCTAATTGCAAATAATAAACTTGAAATGTAGATTCAAATTTAATTTATTTTCCTTACAACACGCAGTGTAACAAAATATCAAAATGTGAAATAATAATATCGTATATCATTAATAATTAATCGTTATCTAATTACTAATAAGCTATAGATTCCTTCATCAATAATCGTAATACTATTTGGTAACGTTCTTTATCCGGCATTTACATCATTCGTTTATCGCGCTTTCGATCATTGTAGTAACTCATTTCCAGTCGCCAGTCTTCAACAACCGCTTTCTTCTTTTATGGCACAAAGTGACGCTGACTCAATCGGTTAATTATTATGATAATTAGGCGACTTCAAGGATCCGCAACGCAAACATTTTACCGATTTCTTGTTTGCATATCTTTCGTAAAACAGTCGGGCGTTGCCTTATCGCATTTTGATGTTGTTCCAAGCGATTGAGACAGAAAAAAGCGGTTTGATGGAAAGAATTTCAGTAAGCTGGTTGTTAGTTGTAATAAGATTTCCAACCAACTGGGAAACTGTGAACATGATTTCTTCTTCGATGCTGCCTTCTAGCCACCTGTTGCCTGTACACGAACAGTGGCCTAAAAATTTTGGCATCTTGAGCTTCTAGGTCTTCTGGATCATTTTTTAGATCGTCTTGCTTTGTTTCTGCTTCGATGGATCTGGTTATTCTGGATCTTTGATTCGATGGAATTTGATAGCTGGCTGGAGGTTGCTGAGAATTACTCCTTTCAATATAACCGTTCATTTCGAGATGCTCTTTGGTTTTTCCGTAGGCTTCGACCTAAAATTGATTGATAAAGATGGTGAATTTTATGTAAGAAAATATTTTTTAATGTAATAAATAAAATTCCTATTTCGATCTTTAAGATCGAGTAATCAGTTCTCCGATAATTTATCATTCATATTTTGATGGTTAATAAAGAAAATTATATTGTTTGTATACAAATTTCGCGTTGTATTAGGTTTTTAATAAGTTAAAGAAAATTGTTAATGAAAGTAAAGAAGAGACTCCTTTTAAGGAAGATCATTAGTTTCTTATCGAATTTCAGATTTTGTTTTCAATTGAAATTAGGCTTACGAAAGGAACGTGTTTTCATAGTATAAGTGACGCAATATGTATTAATGTATATATTTTAAATTGTCAGTGAAATATTTAATTTTGTATGAAGTTCAAGAGAAGACACAAATCTATTTCTATAAAATTAATTTCCCAATTAAACATTATATGTATACATAAAAAGAAAAAATCTCGGAATGACAATAACAATTGAACAGATTTTCCCATTATCCAATTATTCTAATATTAATATCCTCGAAATTTAGAAAATATTCCCACCCACCGTACGAGCAACCCTCGAAGTGTCCTCAATATCTTTTATAATTTCTTCCTGTGTCTTCTTTTCAATATAGCCATTATTCTCCAAATTCTTTTTTTGCACTCCATACACCCGAATTCCAGGAAGATCCTCTTCGGAATTAACATGGATCTTTTCCACTTTCCCATCAAATCCATGTTGATTTTCTATATGCAATCTCCTAGTTCGACTGTTTTCCCTGAATTTCCTTGGAAGCCTGTCTGGTATGTCTCCTACAGTCAGCAATCGTGACACAGTTGGATCGGAAAGCTCTGCGTTCAATGATACCGCATAGTTGACATCGAACGATGCCATCAGAAACAGAACCTGCAAAAGATTCAGAATAGAAACAAAAATTCAATGCACATAATTTTTTAATCGCATTTTAATTATGTATGATAGAAAATTGTTATTGAACTTGGAAAAGATTGGACTCTTTTTGTTACGTATTGGTTAGATAATCTATACTGTTTTTAATGTTTCGATAAACAAGTTTTGTTGATGCGTGTATGACATTTTTATAAGGCGTTGATATATTTAAATAATCAATGATATCGCTACTATAAATTTTCATGGAGTTTTCCAACTTTTTCTACAGTTGCTAATATTATTATCAAATCATTATAGCTCTATTGTCATAAAAAGTTCTAAAAACTCAACGTCCAAGCAAAAAGTTCATTGTTTGCCAAACTTTTATCAATATTTTATTTTACTTGATTAACTTAAAGGTTGAGCTATTTATATCAATATAATACGATTATATGTTATACATGATTATATTAATGATTAATAATAATCAATCCATACGGTATATTAATGTTATCACCAGACTGATTTTTATGCATTTATGCGAAATTTAAAAATGCAAAAATATGCAGAGTATATACATACAATAGATAAAGATATATAAAATATCCAAAAGTAGAGTATTCATAATAAGTTTTAACAAGTAAATCAAATCGCTGTTTAAAATGTACCCCATCAATTTTGTTTATAAAAATACAAATTTGTATAAAAATTCGCAATCCAGATATCACGTTAACTCTCTCTTACCACGAGTGCAGTCCACATGGCGCAAAGATTAAAGTTTCTCAACTGAAGATATCGAAATCCACAACAACGAATTCCGTTCTCGGCGATACTTAGATCACGATTGAGGGAACAGATCGCTCGAGCATCGGTTATATACGTGACGCGTTTGCGATCTCGAGGAACGCGATTAAGTTGCTGCTACTCTTGACGTATACAGAGAGAGGACGATGCGGTTGGAGCTTCCAGTTTAGATGTGAGTCATCTTGGCGACCGATCCTCGGAAAAAAGAAAAGTAAAGAGGGTCGTCTTGTTTCTTTAATCGCTATCGAATTGGCTTTCTACGCGAAAGCTCGAATACCTTGAATGTTTTCTTAGCCTGGCCTTTTTTTCCCGACCTTTCATTCCGCGTGAAACGATAGCGATATTGTTTGTAATTTCTTTCATCTTACTTTTTACTCCAATGTATCTTCCCGATGATATGCATTATTGCATTTTTAGCATAAATGTATAATATTGATAATTATTATAGATTTTTAAAAATATCCTTTTGTTTCATGTTTTTTTCCTTTTTCTTTTTTTCTTTAGTTGTTATGTGAAGTTGCAATATTTGAGTTACTTTTCATAAATGTGATATTTGTAGAAGTTTGAACATTGCTTTACATTTTCTGTTATGTGCATCTGCAATAATAATTATTTTTATTTTACAAGGTCATTTTATTGATAAAAGAACCGATTAGATAAATATAAACGCATGTTTGTAATTAGAAGCATTAGATATAACTCTTAGCAAAGAAACCACAACTTCTTTTGGCGACCACTCCTAGTTCCTATATGAATAAAACAAACTAATTAGATGTAGATCTTGATAAAAAGAAAAATATTATAGTCTAGCGAAAGTCATTGAAACGTACATATCCATAGAATTAAATTCTATATTCTAATTCCTTTTTATTATATTTCAAAGGAATCTTTATAATGTTCAAAATTATATTTCGTATCTGCCAGTTTATTTCTGTAATTGCCATCCATGAGGAGTCAGCCCTTTGCTCATTGATTAAGAAATTTCAAGAACAGACCCCTATTTTACACCTTGATAATTCCCTTAAAAGATACTCCACTTATTCATCACATTAGTACGAAGAATTTTGCCAACATACCTCTCAAACTAGTCACCACATTTTTCATAGGTGTTAAACGTCCACTCAGTGGTTGTTAAACATTCGTATGATCGGGGTCATCCACCATTGGGATTCCTAAGTGCGCCTTTCTCCCTACTACCAATATTGCGCAGGAAACAATCGATGATGTATATCGATGCAAACAATCGATTGATCCGAAATTTGATAAATATTCGTTCGAAAAGTATTTGAAGGTTAATTATTCAAGGTAAATTAGCATACAATAGCGCGACCGGTAATAAATCCAAGTTTACGTGAATATAGATTCGTAAATATGCGTATTCTATATTAAAATGTATGTATTTGGGATGTATAAATTTTCGTGTGAATATCGTACTGCGCAGTAGCAATCTGAGTGAAACAGAAAATGAATACAGCATCGTGTACACCGTTGCGTTTTGGGATAGAATTGACGATTAAAATATCGTGTATTTGTCGAATGAAAAAGAAGAATGCTTCGTAAAAATGCGTAGAAACACTGAAGAGGGGAATGAAAATTCAAGACAATTTCGAAAAGTATGAAATAGAGTTCCTTTCTTGGAATTCGCGAAACAATGAGATTCTTTGAGTACGAAAGTTCAAAATTTCCATTTCTTTTCTATTAAGGTTCCATATTTAAATGTTTGTTGTTACACGTTTTAGTTGATGACGAATTTATAATACGTTCGAGAAGGCATTTGATTTTTGCAAATAAAATTTGGCAGACATGAAATTGATCAATGGTCTTCCTTTGACTTAACAACTGCATATCTTCAAGGTATAATATGTAACTTTAATCTCCTATGTCTTTAAAATTATCACACATGTACAACAGCTACCAAAAGTATGTACACATCGTTATATACATATATTACAGCATTTTAAGTGTATTAAGCATCGTATCATTTCAAAGTACACTCGTATGACTATAAAAATATAATTGACACTATGAAATGTAGAAGTAATATGCAAATATTTTTTGTTCGCTTGATGTCGAACAATTAGAATCTGCTCTCCAAATTCTGAAATTTAATTTTAATGAACATTAATTTGGTGTACACTCCCATCGTACGTCTGCTCGACATCTTCGGTGAATGAATCTAGGAAGGAATGAATGACTAACTATTCTGCCTAAGGGTATTAACATGTCGTTAATTCGTTTCTACGATATAATGTATATAGTTATCGGGACACATTCGTAGAAAACTGGTTTGTGAATATTTATCGAACACGTTTGACCACTAGGGACATTAATCTCTGAGAATTTAAACTTAATCATTATTTAAAGAAAGTTATACGTATCTGGGTTGTTTATAAGAACTCCTTTTTAGGTTATCGTGTTATTTATTATCACATAAATTATTCGCACAGATACTTGGAATTTGGGATTGGAATTTATAGATTTATCTTCTTTGATCCTGATTATTGTTTATCATGCTTTACATATTTCTGAAACGATATCAATTTTATTAAAGAAATATATTAACATATGTACATGTGTAGAAAATGGTACATACAGTTGCTGCTTTTTATTTTATTGAAGATTAAAATTGAATGTCAGTATTGAGTAATATTAACATTTATGTTGGAAATTCTTGTGAATATTTTAGAGTTTAATGTATTCCGATTAATTTTCGGAGTAAATAGTGACACCGTTTAATTTTTCTAAAGAACTCTATGTTTTCAGATTGATTTACAATCTTGTTTTAAGATTAAGTGTAGAAAGTCTTGGATTGATATAAGTTCTTTCTCAAGGAAATAAACGGTAGTAGCTCGTTCGGGAATGTCATTGAAGTCCTCATTCCTTGACAACCTTGTCATCATTTACAACGTTCCAATCATCCTCGCAGTCTTAAGGTACATTTCACAGTGTTTCTATTGTTACTTTCTATTCTTTTCTATTGGCGTGATAATTAGAATTAATTTTTTATTCATATTTGTCGGAAAAATAAATGTAATTCAATTATTTTATCTTTTAATACATAGATAATAATATATATTTTCCTAATTTAACATTTTCAATGTTTTTCTTTTCAAAATTAATAATTTCTCACAATCCAAACCATTTATCATTATTATAAATTGTTAGCGTGTTAACAAAGGTAGAAAGGAAGCTAATTTCAAAATTTGAACTCACAGTTCAATTCATATTCAGTTTAATTGAAAACTTAGTTTCTTCCATAAAACGTTCTCTTTAATGTTTAATTAAATAATCATGACGTAAATGAAAACAATACTTTATTTATACATTGAAATATTGAATCATAAAGCGATAAGAAACGTATCAATCAAAATATCTTCTTTTCCCCTCTATCCAAGCACAAATCATATTTCCTTCTTTCTCTTTCTCGTTCTAATCCTCTTCGTTTCTAATAACCGCCGTTACGAGGTCTGTAAAAATATCGTCTTGGATAATAGTTGTCATAATCCCGATACGGTGTGTAACTGTATCGTCGATTGCTTTCGTCATAGTATTTAGACCGCTGCTGCGATTCCTGCCGATACCTAAACAGAGGTCTAAATATAATATCTTCAGCTACATCCATGTCACCTGTTTCTCGTGAATAATCCATTTGATCATCCTGCAGAGATGGTGTCAGCATTGCCCATTGCGACACGACTATTGGAGACAAGAACTTTTCGTTTGTAGCCAAACTTGGGGCTGCTTCATCCAAGTAGGACACTGGCGCACTGCTATAAGGTGATAAAGCAACAGTGATCTGAAAGCGGAAATGTCTCCCTTTTTATTAATTTTTTATTTCTTCTTATATTGTAAATAGCAGTATTGGAAATAATGTATTGTAGCACTAAAAGAAGATAAATAGGTGAATATCTTGAAATTAGATATTATCCGTCCTATATTATTAAAATATTAAGTGTTATTAGTGTAATATTATCAATAAGTATTATATAATATAATATTAGTAATATACCATTTATTGATATCCTGATTTTTATCATTTTCTTTCTTCTATACCTCTACTTCCTTAACTTTAAGTCTTTTCTATCTATTTTTTTATTTTTCCACAACTACCATAATCAAGATATTTGTAATAATATCCCTACTTTCTAATTTTATCTTTCATTACAGATATTTTCTTCGGTAATTTACCTCCGACGGTGTGGAAGATTTCCAATAGTCAAGATTGACCGACAATGAACTCTGATCAACAAGGTCTTGAGCTTTCTTCTGAATCTTCTCGCTGTTATGCTTCAAGAATTCAACTTGGCTATTCAGCTCGCCGTTTTTAACTTGATTAGGCAGAATGGCCACGATGGGGCTGTTCACTTTGTCCTTTTCAGCGTTTGAGGGATCAATGACCGCAACAATAGGAACAGCCACCTTATGCGAAGATGAGTCTTCCGGTAACACAATTCCATGACTAAGCTTGTCTTCCAAGAATTCGGTTTTGTTTTTACGTTTCTCGTTCGATGATATCGGTTGGATCACGTCCTGTTCTGAGAAGGACTCGTTCTCTTTTTCTTCTGATCGGTCGTCGCTGCCCTGGAAATCGAAAGAAGGTCAGAAATTGCCTGTATCAATAATTAATGAAGATTTTGTGAGAATTATAATAGAAAGTGAATCATTTAACTGATAATCCTCTTTCGAAACATTTGATTTAATAATTTAAAACCATTGAATAAAGATTTAATCTAAAAATTTCAATAATCTTTAAAAAAATAGATAGATAGAAAAATAATTGTTAATACTACTATAAGAAAAATTTGGTTTACGTAAAGTAATTAAACATCATACTATAGGATGAAATTTGTAAAAAGATACTGCAATGTAGAATTTTTGAACCACATGCAAACGAATTGATTTACTCTGTAAATATCTACACTCAGTTACATGAATGAGGAAAAAACAATAGATTTATCTAAATAATGGATTGTGTTTTTCTAGCATGATCAGATAGATACGCTTCACCTATCGCAGACGAAGATCTCATTGGATGGAATGTCCATGTTAAATTATTATTCTCTACCTCTGGCGTATATTCACGTGCGTCGTCTTCGAAGAATGCTTGGTTCTCTGGCGATGAAGACTCTTGAGCTTCTGCTTTCTTCGCTTCAGTAATATTTTTTCGTACGTCTTCCAAGTTCTCAGTGGGAACCACCAGAAGGTGTTCGCGTTTCGATAGTATCTTGAATAAAAGGTAATACAAATTTGGTATACAATAATAGTATAATAAAATAATAAAACAGTATAATAATTATTATATATTATAAGTTATCAGTACCATTATTATAAAATCAAACGATACAAATTACCACAATAAAAATTTTAAGATCTGATCTTTTAAATAACATAAAAAGATCTTAATTTTTGTTTAACAGCAGCTACGATATAGTAAGATCATATAAACAGTCCAGTACCACAGTTTATATTTTTGGTGCATCGCGAAATATACTAATTATCTTAAAATACCTAGAATGCTAATTTTTAACTTAAATACTTTCCACTTGAAATACTCAATTTTTAACTCCTAATGTTCAGGTTGTACGAAAGAAGCACGAGGATTACACAAAAATAATAATTATAGTATACTTTGTTCGTTTAGTCGTTTTATACAAACCAGATTGGGATTGGTGGCTGGCATTATGAATACATGCTTTTTAACAACTAATCCATTTAGAGATCTATTGGTAACCGTATGATGCACAGCATCCTGGACAACTGGATCCTGAACGACTGCAGCTATCGTTTCGTTCTTATCGTGTGGGGTTGGTGGAAGTAAACCCTCTACATCCTCTGGCGTCAAAGGTTTCCCCATTGAACCATTCCCATAGATTAAGGCCAAGCAAAAAACAAATTGCAACGTGATCGCCTAAAAGACAACAGTATTAAATCAATATAAAAAATTAATACACACTGAAATAAAATTGAAATTCTAATAATGATATTTTACTAAATTATTTATTATTTCAGAGAAACTATTTGAAGAAATGCTGGATAATTAAATTCGTAAATACGCAATAAAAGCAAAGATAACAATCGAACATACATTGCGCAATATTCTAACGCTTACTCATGCAATACTAAAAATGCTGCATTAAAATTTTAACACTATAAATTTTCACACTATACTTTTAATTTACATTATTTTACTAATCGTAAAGTTGTAAAATCCAAAATGTTAAAATTACTATTTTATGGTTACAGATAGAAATGTCTTTACTCGAAAATGTATTACATATATTTTACTATTTATAGAAACTGTGATTATACATAATTATACCCTTTGTGGTACCATTTTATGTTTCATCGAAGCTGTTATAGAATCTTCTTGAGTCTTCTTTTATAGTAATACTCCTTGAATTTTCTCTTTCCTTGACAAAAACCTGAGCAACGTCTTTTCGACTTTGACTAGTAATAACGGTTCGTTCGTGTTTTATACCAGGTACCAAAAGAATTATCGTTGTCCTGCTAACAGACGTGAGTATCAACCTTGCGGTACATCACTTTGCCAGTTGCGCCGTGAACTTGTCTTCTCGACTTTACCATCGCATATCACTTTTCCTTGATCAACTCCCGTTAATCAAAAATTGATTATATACCACTACTCAGTTTTTCTCAGTTTTATTCAAAGTATAGTAAATGTGAACAATGAATCCTCATATTACATGTCTTATCTCCATTGCCGAATAGTCACTGTAAATATAATGGCCTGAAATAAGAGTAGGCAATAGTAAAGTAATTATATCTGTATAAGATTACAGCACCACACATACACATACACATCTATAATCATTATTAAGATTTTCGTTTTCGAAGATTTCTGTGTATTTATTCCAAACGCTGTTCACGTAAACGCTATTTTAAATCATCAGGATTATTTGGACACTAATTTGGTAATTAGTATGTTGTTAATAATATTCAGACGTTTAGCGATCACTTTACCAGTTATTTCTATATAGCCAACTATAAAAGGGGCAATTTCTTTTTCCGGTTCTTCAGTTTCTCATTACCACTTGAACAGTTCATACCGTTATCGTCGAATTAAGTATTTAGATTGAACGATCTTAAATATTGCCCATTTGTAAGATTCTTTAGCAGTGACAACGAAGAGAATGGCACACTTTGTTTGTTTCTTCAGATTGATTATCTTGTTAAAAATTCTCCAAGCATTTGAATGCAACAATTTGGAGACAGAAACACTTTCAATGCAATCTCCAAATTCTGATTTGAGAAATGACAATGAGACAGTATATAATACATCAAAAAATAACTCAACATTTATAAGCTCTACAAAAAGACCAGCTTCTTTGGAAGATAGTGTATCAGTTTCTGAAAAATGTTGCAAGGAAGCATTCACAATGACAGAGTCATTTACAATGGATACTACAAAATCTAAAGATAAGGAAGAAAATCAACAGATAATCACCATACTTAAAGAATCAATTCATAATTCCGTTTTAGAACCTTGGTATCGCGTTAAACGAGATAGCGAAGATGAAGAATACCAAGAGGCATCAAATTCAGACGAATCTTCACAGGATAATAGTTCAGATTCTGATCAGGGATTAGCTGTGGATGAATCTCAAAATAATGGTTATGAAACCACAGAGGAAGGAACCGAAGATGCATCAAATAAAAATTCCAATGAAGAATCTTCCAGTCTATCTGATCCTGCACAAATAGATTCTGCGAATGTTAAGAACATAGAAAAAAGGAACACATATTCAGAAGAATCTACGGAAGAAGGCAGATTATATCCTCCTTGGTACCAGTCAACATTTGGAAACAGATTTTGGTCTAGTGGTGAGAGAGATTCTTCTCACCATTTTATAAGGGTTCCAGTATTCCCAGGAAAATAGTGTATTTTTTATATATCTGTGTATTCATGTGATTAATTAAAATAAATGTATATTATGTATATATAAAAAAAGTAAAAAGATTTCTTAAGTATTTTATTACAAGAAATTTATTGAATGAGATTAATAATTACATAAAAAAATCATATTACAAAAAACAGTTCATCAATTATAGTTAAAATACTTAACAATATCGTTTTAAATAAATACATGTAAGAGCTTACTTTGGTGCCTTTGGTAGTTTTCCCTTACAACTAAAAATTACCTTCAATTAGAGTATTATCTTAAATTACTAATTCATACTTTTATACAATATAAGCTAAGATTTCATCTTAAAAATATCAGTACAAAATTTTGTGACAAATTACAGAACATAAGAAAGACTAAATAAATTGTAGAAAGAGAACAGAAACTTATACATCAGAGATGTTGTTTTCTGCATCTACTGATGCTTCTGTTTATCACGTGGGCAGTTTGCTCATCCAATTATCAGCTCTACTATTTATACTCATCCATTAACGAGTTCGATAACTAACGCAGCGTTAAAGACCTCTCTATTTCCGCCTTCGATAACTTCCATGCCTTGTAAGGATTTTCTATCGTTCTCATCAATGATAGAAGAAATATAGCACAAAGTTCATCTTCGAAAATTGAATAATAGTTAAATCTTCAAACACTTATACTCTTCAATATTCTTCCTATCTCTATTGCATCCTTCCTGAAGATTACAGATCTTCTTTTATTACTCTTCTCTTCTTAGATTCTCCTTAATTTTCATTACATTGCTTTCAAAGGAATCTAGCTTTCCTCTTTTCCACAGAATCTTCCTCAAAATTAAAGTTCCTTCCCATTCCATAAAAAAGGGAACTTCATATTCCTCTTTTCAGTCATAAATTTCCGTATATGCTCCTTTATAAGGTGGTTTATGGGTTACATGCGTTCCTTTAGCTTCCAAATCGTTTGTCTTTTTGTTTGTCATGTTGTCAACGTCATAACCGGCTCTATTAACATGATTCAGAAGCGATTTTCTCGACGATTCATATCTCTGACTCGTTGCCTATACGCCAACTGCTGTCGGTAGACGAACAGTGGTCGAAGAACGTAAGTACCAGCTGCAGTTTCAAGATCTCCTTGATCTTGTTCTTTTACATCGCGTTTCTCGACCAAAGTACCATCAAAATCCCCCTCTGACCCATCCAATTTGCTCAGGAGAAATGCGTATGCTACTGGACTTGAGTCATCCTGTCGTTTGCTTCTAAGATCGGTTGGTTCCTCGAGCAAAGTCGAAATGCTGGCAAGTGACTTGGAATTGTCCAGCTTGACCGGAAATGCGGTGGAGCAGCCAAGGAAAGTCAGAAAGAAGATGATTGCGACGGCTTTCTGAAACGAAGAAACGAAAAATATTATTACTTTTCTAAGTTCTTAGATTTATCTAGATGAAGATAGGGTTTGCTGATAACTCTGAATATTATTATGTCATTTTCCAAAGTTCTTGACGTGAATTTCCTATTCCTTTTTTATTTTATTGTCTTCTATATCATTAATTTTATCATTCCACAGTATAGGATTGTAAAAATACGTAGTTGCAAAGAAAACTCACTCAAAGATGTTCTTTTATTAAAATACCAATCATAATTTCCACTTTTCAATCAATTTTCACCGCCGTATTGTAAAGAATTCAGAGTTTCATCGCGTATCAACTGAACTAAACTTATTTAAATATTCTCAAGATAATCTTACCATCTTGTTATTTCAGTGAAAAGCTCCTTCAAGATTCAGACTTCAACACTGATCTTCCAATCTTCAAGCTTCAAAAACACCCTCGAGTACTCTACTTGAAAAATGACTTTGCAGATCTTCAAATATTCGCTCAAGGAAGATAAAAGCAAGAAAAGGTGCAAGTATAGTTCGTGTAAAACCACTTTTTGTCTATGAAAAACCACTAAATCTGTTTGTAACAGCTCTGTGGCAGGTTTGTGCCCGGCAAAGCATCCTCGTAGCATTTATATGAAATAATGACGTCAAACGTAACCACGCTAATCGTACAATGACGTTCTATGGCAAGTGATAACCAACCTGGTAAACCAGTAACATCGATGCATCCTCGAGTACGTGTTTTTTTAAAAACAGGTATCCACCAAACGGGGGTGAAACGTGACGTTGACCAAGAGGCATGCTCACGTCAATCCTGATCAAACACTGGCAATTCTTCGTCGTTTGTCTCACCTGCTACGTAGGAAAGTGTTTGATGTTCAATTAACGATCGCTGATTGTGTTGCACTATGATTCATTCTACGCGGAAGTTGATTGCACGCCATGGCTATGAAATTACGCAACAAACCACTAGAAGAGCTTGTGCTTCAACGATACACACTTTATTCAGTAGAAGAACGTGGTTCGTTTATACGTATCAAATGATCGTTTATTGGATGGGAATTTACGAGCCTCTTGTGGAGCCATGTAAAATGGTAATTGCATTTCTTGCTTAGTTCCTTTTGTTTAGATGTTAAAGTTTGATTTGTTGAACCTGACAATGAGTTGGACAGGAATTTTGTTTTGCTATAACTTACACATTACTATTTTGGTATTTCTATTTGTCTGTAGAGATTAGAGACTCAGAATACCAGTTCCATGGAACTGAAAGTAAAAGATTGGTCTGGCGAGTAATTCCACTGTATACTTCACACTGCTTCACACTGTATACACCAAACAGAAAACTCATGTTAATGATTGGTAATGCGTAGTAAAATTAATACTACATTATTGAGTAAAAGAAATAAAATTGTTACTTTATCCCAGTTTATCTTTTTCAATAAACAAATACAATAAATAGTTATTCCAAATGGATAGTACAAGGCAATACAAATCTATTTCGTTATAGAGAAGATTAAAACTTTTGGTTTGATTCTTAAAGGATTGCAATCGATTCAAGATACTAAATACAGTCCCTTCTCGATCATCAGTCATGAAGAAATATAAATAAAAATCATTGATTGGGAAAGAGGATGTGTCTTAAAAGAGCATCGTGCATCGTCGAATTAAGTGTTGCTTCTGTTTGTATCAAATCAATTGATTTATTTGTCTCAGTTTAAGCATTCGTTGAATAAATAGCCCTCCGCTTCTCTAGCTCATTTCCGTATCTATGTGTTCATTTGGAAAAAAAAAGAAAGAAAAATCCGATTCAAAAAACGAGGAACCTCTTTCTCACGTTTCTTTACTTTTCGAGATGTTAACGCGATCTTGTCGCGAGATTTTCGTATCTTTCTTTACTTTTCTTTTTTTTTTTTGTTTTGTTTTCATATATATGCAGTTTTTATTTTATTTTGCAGATTCGGCCTCCTCGTGCACGGTTTCGCTGCTTTCGGTAGTAGTTTCACTTTTAGATCTGAAAGAAATCACCAGATGAGGGTATTTCGTGGCTGCTGGGAAGACAAGTACGAGAAATAAAGAAAACAAGCACAAGGCAAAACGGATTAGTAATAGATCAGGTCTGTTAGAGACACGAGGATCGAGTTAGACCTGTTAGTATATGGGAATTGGTCGACTCGATTTCACTCATACCAATCTTCCCGGGTGGAATTGTTAGGTGAAACATTCTGTTGAGGGAACCGTTCGACAGGTTTCGGTATCGAATACGCTAATAAGATATCTTAATTACAAAGCATATCATTTTTACATACGCGAACTTCAATTTAAAAAAGAAAGAAAGAAAAGAAATACACATATACATTGGCTACTAAAAATATTTGTACACATCCTTATTTTCCAATGGAATGTGTTTCTATCGCGTTCTATACATCTCATTTTCATAGTATTCAATTTTTGTAATCATATGAAATTTAATATAAGTATAATATAAATAAATACTATGCTATGTGCAAATACTTTTTGTAGCCATTGTATAATGCAAAGAATGTATTCCCATTGTAACATATAATTTCTATTGGAAATACTATATCTGGACTGCGGATATTTATACATATTTATATTTCCATGAACATAATCGAAGAGATCAAACCTGAACAGAGACGTTTTTCATTTATTACACATTACAGAGAGTGTTATATTTGGGATATTTTATATATTATCGTACATTGTATGCATCTTTGCATTTTCACCTAAATGTGTAAAGACCCACAATCTAGATACATCTAAAAAATACAGTTTTTATCCTTTCTATCTTATATAATTTTTCATACGAATGTCAATATCCAAAACTTGTCGACCGGTCACGTTAGTCAAATAGGGGGGTAGTGGAATGAAAAAAAAGTTGGAAAGTACGAAAAAATCCTTTCCTGTATTGATCGATCTAAATATGCAAATCGGGGAACCTCGTCTACGAGTAGTTCTTGCTTTGCTTTTTTTTTTGTTCGTTCTACATTTGGGAGTAAAAAAACGAATATGCGTCGTGAGGGCATCGATGCTGCCGCGCATATCGACCTTTTTCTGCTCTCTTTCTCTTTCTTGTCGCATAAATAACATTGTATTGCATGCAAACCATTTCCTCATGCTATTCACTGTTTTCTTATTTTTTTGTTTTGATCTAATGTTCTCTAGTTGGGGCGTGTAAAGAAGCGAAGTGACGTTTCAAATGAATTTCTCCATTAATTCTCGTTCCGATATTGTTTCTCTTTTCATATAGCCAATCGGAAATAAATTGCATAAAAATTTGATTTTTCTTTCTTCCCCAATTTTCGCGAATCAGTAACACATTATCTCATTTCACTTCTTTCGACCCTCTTCCTCTACGATTCAGTCTTCTCTAATTCTACCAAGTGTTACGTTTCCATTTGTCATTCATGTGTATGTATGTGTGTGTCTGTTGTCGTTTTACATTTAAAATACCATGTCTCGATACAACTTCTACCACGGTGTACATCGTAAATGTAAATATTAACAGTTAACTGCGTAGAAGTAGAGTCGCAAGGATGCAGTTTGACCTCAGGGAGAAGTAACTTCCTACCATTGCCCATGTTCTATTTGTTTTTTCCGGAAGGACAACATTAATATCGTTATCTAAACCCTGATCTTCGTTCTTGCTTTCCTGGTCCTTATACCGTATTTCATTTGTTTGCTTCCCTTTCCACACGCGCAACTCCATTCTTAAGTTTTAGACGACCTGACTTGTCAAATTAACTGATCAAACCACGAGAATGCCTTCTCTTTTTTGTCTTGTTGGGAAGAATTTAGTGACAGGTAAAATAAACATCCCTGAAAGTATAATCTGTAAATACATTAATTTTGTTACTCGTTACATTGTGGTTTTATGATATTAAAAAGAAATGTGTATATACATATATATATATTATTTGGTATATAGAAGAAAATTAGTTTTGTAATTAGTGACCTTTTCTACTTAGCTCTTGAATTGAATTTTACCAGTACACTAGATATCTTCCATGAAGTATTATTGCATTATCGAGTTCTATGAAGTTTGCATTTAAAAAAAGTCTTCTGTTTTCAAATACTAGCCTGTGAAAAAATAATTATAATAAACTATAAATCATAAATCTCGTGACTCGATCATTCGACAGTCAGGTAACAATAGATTTACTGGAACGATTATCTATTTCTAAATATATATTACATGTATAAGTATATATTGTCGGATAATAAAGGATTCACTTGCTCGATGATTACGCTCTTCCAAAAAGGCGAGGGGTTGCGTACAGTGTCGTAACTCTATTTGAATGCTACTACAGATCGTATTCTCACTATTATGACTCCCTTTTTTTCTCTTCCCTTGTCTTTCGTAGGAGTAGGCACTTAGCTATATGTTTCTGCGGTTCCTTGTAGTATCGTAACGAGTTTATGTCTATTGTATACGACGGAGAGATTACTGGATGGAGAAAAACTGAAATTGTATACGGAAGCCTCCCCTCTTCGTCTTTTTTTTTTTTTTTTATACTTTTCTTTCTTTTAAATCTTCTTCTGAGCTCGATCGTCCGATTTCTATATATATATATATATATATAAAACATGTTTCTATCATATAATCGACGAAGTATACTCCTCTAAAAAACTCCTTACATGGTGTGACTTTCTTTTTTTTTTTTTGTTTCCTGTTCTTATATTATTCTTCTAGTGGCGAAATGTAGGAAAAAATGTTCGTACGAAATCTCACGATCGTCGCTCGTAATATTTCGTCTTTTTCACTCTCATACTTCTTCTGTTCATTCTCGCTCTTTCACGCATGCACGCGCGTCGAGGCGTGTTTCTCAATACTTCCTCTTCTCCTTTTTCCCCTTTCTTCCTTCCTTTTATTTTGTCTCTTTTTTTGGAACTTTTTATTAGCACCGTGTCTTTCATGGATTTTAGTTCTCAAGAATACGTATCTTTCTCGTTCCTCATCTCTCACACGCATACATTCTCTCGCGTTCTCTCGCATGCTCTCTATCAAAATCTTCAAGAAGCTTCCAGCAACGACAACAGGTAAGTCGGACAAATGTTTCGACGTCTAATATTCAGCTTATTTTTTCGATAATTACAGGAACGAGAATGCTCGGTGAACGCGTGATGAACGCCTTCATCACGATTGATCATTAACGACGAAAGACACTAAACTAATCTGAAACGAATTTTAATCTTCGGTTAACTGGTCGATTACAACTGTTATAAATAAACTACGGATGCATATTTCATATTTTTGTAATTAAAGAAATGAAGTCTAGATAAAAACTAGTTTTACCTACTATAGATATTATTATCTGTCCTTTGTTTTGGATATTTTATGTATCTTTTGCGTATTAAGTGCACTCTATACGTTTCTGCACTTCTAAATTTCTTGTGTATATATAAACATCCACAGTCTAATTATAAGTTTCCAGGTGCTAATTCTGGTCTTGTCAAAAATTAAGTAATAATATTGCAGCGTAAGAGTTACTATGATGTCGTTAAGTATTCCCCATATTTATAGAATTACAATTGTTCAATTACGTAGTAACATAGAAATCAATGTTAACATTTATATTATACAGAAATATAATAAAATAAAGTTGTCGTTATTATTTCTAGATCTTCTTGTGGAAGTAATTTCAACATAAAAATTATGTTCTAAAAGTCAGCATCTGGAAACTTCAAACAGTTTCAACCGTTCAAGAACAGAAGCACTCTCGCTATAAACTCGAAGATCACATTCATCGTGTTTCTAAAAAAGAAAATATAAAAAATATCGAATTTGTCGACTCTCTTCTAGGAACGCTCTATCATCTCTTTCGCTCAATGTAATCGCTCTAAATGAAGGCTGACGTATGTGTCGTTCTTCTTGCTCGGAGAAGATTGTTTTTCACACTGTTCTCGCATGCTATATTAAAGTTATTCGAACATGTTTCAAAAATCATTTTAAAATGAGAAAAAGAAAACATGTTTGGGTCGCATGTTCCTCTAACGACAATATAAACGTACGAATATACTCTAGATGAAAATCAGGTAACAAGATATACAATGGTGCACACACACATAGGTGAACTGTACCGACGACAGAATACTGTATTCAACTTCGAACACGTTTTAACATTGCTTTAAATGGAACACGATGACATCTCTCCTACGATAATTTGCGATTATGCCTCGGTGCATTGTGAACGAACACACCAACACATATACAGTGGTTACAAAAAGTATCTGTATATACCTATATATATCTTTTTAATAAAGCGCTTTTTTTAGCAGGTCCTATATTTTTACAGTATCGACTTTCCTAATTACATAAAAGTACTATTAAATGACAAGAAACGGAGTACGCTTGAATCTGATTAATTAATATATAAATGCTATAATAATTATGCACTAATGCTTTTTATAACCACTGTGCAGTGAATGTAACACGTATCAGAAAAATAATTCTTTGACATGAAAATCGTGTTCCAAGCATCCTATGGATTAACGACGTAATACAAAAGTACAGAAAATACATTTGTTCACGCCACGCGTGTTTTCTTCTTGGAAAAAAGTCAAAACGTAAGCATCTAAGCTATACTTTGCTTCCTGTTCTAACTTCTTTCCCTCTTTTGTTTAATGTTGGAACACGATCCAGTAAGCTTACTCCAGGTTAAAGAATGATCGTGACGATTTGTGTAGAAGCTCGGCTTAAGAGTAAAAATCTTTTTTAACCGCGTTACGTATTTGTAATTCTTTTTCGTTTCCATTCGTTTCTTTTTTAAACTTCATGTAGAAGCAATTATAGATGTACTCAGTCTTTCCACGATGCTCAATGTGCTTTAAACGATTTACTATTGAGCAAATCAGTTAGAATTCGTGTTTTAAAATAATGTGTTTTTTTAACCCCTAATTACTCTCTTTTATGTGGGAACTAAGGTTCTTTATAATTTGTATAAATATTGCAATGTCTATCCGAATGCTAGACGGGAGTGAGATTGCTGATGATAGATGATAGAAAAACGCCTTTGATAAGGGGTTAAAAGTGTATAAAATAAAATTTACTAACACAACTATGATACCGTTGATTATTCCAACATGTTCCTCTGACTGAATTAATTTTCGACATCAGCTTTGATATTATACTAATCGGATGCGCACACAGTATCAATTTCTGATCAATATCATGTACATCTTGGTTACACTAGTGGAATCATCTACAGCAACTTTACTTCATCTTCAAGCATGCGAGGAAGTTCCTACGAAACACTAATTTCTCCAATTAGTCGAGTGCTTGATTCAATTCCATATAATCAGATATTGTTCTAATACTTACACTGAAGTATGCATCAAGGCTGATACCGAAAACTGATTCACAAGAATATTAGATATTTCTATATATATTATGCATGACGTACAAAATTCTTGTTGGCTTCTCATTGTTTGGCACCCATTATGTCGACAATTTCATCACATGAAATGAAAAACGCAATGCGCAGGATAACGAGTGATGAATACAGTAGCAAGTTTTGCTCGCTGAGAATATTCTTCCCGCTAATTATTCCAGTATTACGAGAAATATGATAATTTTTCTGTTAACCAGGTCATGTAATTCTCGCATAAAAAATCCCCTCGGCTACTTCGAGTATAAAATGACTCATATTACAAACGATTACGAGCATTTTACGAAATTGCATGAATTATTTACGAAGTATACACAACATCGAAGGCACCAGTTGCCATATTAAACGGAATATCTCGATGACGCGTTTCTTCCAGGAAGAGAGAAAGTCAAGATGATTCGTTTCTTTTTTCTTCCCCCTCCCCTTTAACGCATGCCCCAGGAACAAGTTTCGAACGAAATCGATGATTTTAAGTAAACAACATTCATCTGCCATGTGAGAATGGGCCATGGTACGTCACAGGCATCGCTTATGCTAATTTCTAATGCGACTTCGTTTCGTCATGAACATTTTATAGAAGAATGGATTCTACTTATATGGGCAAGTTATTTATAAAAAGAAACATTTATATAGTGTACTATAACTGTAAAGTTCATTAACATTTCTCTATGACTATCACGAATATATCCATTAAATTCTAGCAAGATGATCGAGGTTACTTATTAAACTCTAAGCGAATGATTTTGGTACCCTGGATGATTGCTAACGGTAGATCAAATTTATTCGAAGAATAACAGTTGAAAAACTGAAGGAAACTCGTCTCTTTCATCCTTCAACTCATTATCAGAATTAAAATATCGGAGATAATGAAATGAATTAAATTAAAGAAATCTAAATTTATTTAAATGTTGTAAGAAATAAAAAATGTGGTAAATTAATACTTTTAATTGCCTCTATATTGATTACTACTTTAAAAGTAAATAATCGATCTTACTTATCCGAACGTCGTGCACTCACTTCGTGTGTAATGTCTATTATATGTAAGAACCTACCATTATTACAATATGAGAATAAGAGGACACTGTTATTTTACTTATATTAGATTTTTACATGTGCTTTTTCTTGCATCCTACTTCACAGAATATACGTTCAATTGTTAGCATCATCAAACAAATAAAGAAGATAGTCTCTATTTCTAATTGGATAGAAAAAGATCACAAAGTAAAAATCTAAGTCAATTTACCTCTTATTTCACTATAATTGGAAACGCGAATGCGAAAGGGTCTACTGACTTTGTCAAGTGCAACTTTCATGGAAACCTAACAAGAAGATTTTCAAAAGAATGTATAGCTTCTAGTATGATACATACTCATTAAGTGAATCACAATACAAAAATACAAATCGAGGATCTCCCTTTTTCTCTTTCGTTCCTATTTATCATTGACTTCCTGATCTCTTTCTCATTTTTTTTCTCGTTTCTCTATCGTGCAGCAATGTCCTTTACAAAATGCACTTCGTTAGAATAAGTTACTTCTCTTGAACGTTTCTTAGATAACTGACGTGTGTCTCATTTTGCCAACTCAACTGATAGTCTCATTAATATAACGCCTCACGACGACTGCGTGTATTTTTACTTTAAATTACATAACACTAAATGCTTCTCCCTGATTAATTACTCTCTCGAAACGGCAATCAATGGCATGTGCAATGGAGCTGTTAAATATTTCGTAGTGAAAGTAACTATTCTTGAATGTGCGGATCACCTATTATCACTGACAATTCGATGGTCCATGTACATGTGTGACAGGGAAACAATTTGGTCCTAACCACGCATGTACAAATAGCCACAGATTGCTATAATACCCCCACCAACAATTGCAGCGCCTATGCCTATTGTAAGAGGTTTAAATAATGACCTCTTGAGCTTCTGCCATTCTTCAGTCTCTTTTTGACGACGCTTCATTTCCCGTACTTGTGCTGCCAGACGTTCTTTCTTCTCCTTATTACGATGACGTACTTCGTTTTTCCTGTTTACATGGAATAAGTAAGAAAAAACGAGATATTGAAACACGTAAATATGATTTCATTCTTAAAATAACTCACGTATCTGGACTGGACGGAGGACTAATTGTTTTTGAAGAGTTTTCACCGTCACTAGTATTATCATTAGGCACCACAACACCATCCGAATTCTGTTCGTGTAAATTGTTTGTGATTACTGCAGAGTTTGGAACAGCCTGTGGACTGGTGGTAGATATTTCTGTGGAAATTGATGGCTCTCTAGGCAATGGTTTGTCAGGTGGTGCACTTAATTCATCTAATATTAGATAAAAAGAAAATTATATTTTGAAAATTATTAACTTTTACAATTACATGCTTACCATTTCTTGTTATTGGATTTGAAGTTAAATCTGCCATCATGCTACGTGTTAAGGATTCACCTCTTGGAGGTGGCAAAGGAGGTGGTTCATCTTCCTCTTCGTTTGAAGAATTATTGATGTTACTTACCACGTCATAATGATTTGTTACCACTTCATTATTAATGTTCTGTAAAGACCACATAAGTTAGTGAAAATCAAAGACTGTTATGTTCCACAGTAGCACAATGTTATTAGAGTTAATTCGCGTTAAGAACAAGAATTTTCACAAAGACAAACATGTATGTACATGAAACAAACGACAAAAGCATATATTAAGTTAATTCAGGATGAAGAGACTAATAATATTGTACTACTGTGAATTGGTATTAGTTACCACGTTGTTGGATGGCAGTTGTTTTGCTCCTTCGATGATGGCAGCATATGAAAATCTTAATTGATCTGGTGTTTGAATTAAACCCATTCTGTGTCTTCTCATTTCTATTAACACTTCTCTAACATTCACAGAATTCAATCCACTTTCCTCAATCTGCAAAAGAATAGAAAGGTAGTTTCCCATTTGTAATTTCTAAATTCTCTTCAGTATGTATAATGCTTACCAAAACAAGACATGTATCAACTAAACAAAATGTTCCTGATCTCCCAATTCCTGCAGAACAATGTACCACAGGAGGACCAACATTTTGATCTAATGCTCCTGATTGCCTGACATCTGTTAAAAAACGTAAAAAAGCTGTTGGACTTTGTGGAACTCCAAAGTCTGGCCAGGTGGTATAATGAAAATGTAATATTTCTCTACTTTCTTTTGTTTCCAAGTCAGTTAACCTACAAAAGACATAAACAATAAATCAAATACCTTCTCAAATTAAACATGCACTTCTCAAAGAAGTATCTGTAATATAATTCTTTATCTCCATACTTTAATATTCTAGTTGTGTAATCCGATGATTCTGTTTTACTGATATATTTTACTTTTATACCAACATCCGGAAACATCATAGTATTAATCGAATCACCAAGAGGCCAATACTGATAACACTTAACATGATTCTTTTCAATTATCTTATTTAACATTAACACAGCTTTAGAATTTTGCTCCCATACCATTAGCCAAAAGTGGCCAGCAGTATTTTCCAGTGGTCCTTGTGTAAGAATGTATTGTCTATGGGCACGATCTACCTATAATAAAAAAGATCTT